CATTTTTATCTTTTTCTTACAAAAAAGTGACAGATTTGTAAAGAGTCATGTGGGTGTGGTACGCTTATAAATGTATTATTAAAAAGTGGCATTTTTGTAATTCTCCCAAAAATTTTTATGTCACATACGATATTGATTTTTCTATAGCGTATTTTATGCAAATACTCATAAAGATATGAATAAAAAATAAATTTATATAAAAAGACTATCATTTTGTTAAAAAATTGTAGAAGCTATATAAATTTAGATAATATGAAAATCAAATTCTGTAAAACAAAAATTTGATCAATAATTTTTAAAAAATTAGATTTCACAAATTTTTTACACGTGTTTATCTGTAACAAAAAGATTCCAAAAGAATACGCTAAATTCTAGAGCAAGCATTTAAATGAAAATATTTATATATATCATCATGTGGTTCACTTTCATATTAAACATTTGAAAATGATGTTTGAATTTTTATAAATAGAAATTGTGAGCATAAATCGTAAACATCATTTAAGTATATCAATGTTAGTATATATATTAAAATAATTTTAAAAATCATCTAAATAGTTGTTCCGCGCAACGCGTGGATTTTCACTGGTTTAAAAATAAAAAAAAAAGGGTACGAAAACACGCCTGACACGTGTATATGTAAGGCATAATTTCCACAGAATTAGTCTAATTACGTTAACCGGCGGTATAGTGTTACTTTTGAGATAACGAAAATTCTAAACCATACTCACGAGACCTTCTCTATAATCGTCTAACCAGATTTGTGTCAGGGGTCAAACAAGTCTCCCTTTCAAAGAGACGTCTCCTTCGAGGTGAGCTTCCTCTGATCCATCAAGTATGGGAAGACTCACTGTCACAGAGAATTTACCTTGTAATAACAGATTCCAGTACCACAATGTCGATGTGAGATGACATGTGCCTTTTTGATGTTTTTCGATATTTTGAAAAAGTCGAGGGATTCCGCAAGCATCCATGATCCAGAAGACACCTATTAGTGCGGCCGCGAATTCAGAAGACAATGTCTTGACAACGGCGCCTTCTCCCGATCTCTTAATCTGATATTTAACATATCGCAAGCCTAACCACAAATACGAGGCCACTAAATTTATTGTATACACCAAAAACAGCCCAAAATCTTTTAATTTATTGTATACACCAAAAACAGCCCAAAATCACTGGTGTGCATAAATATTTTTGTTTCTTGTCTTGTCAAAGGGGTGTATTTACACTCGGACACCCTTTTGCGCTTTTGCTGAAATCGTGTATACTTTCTGAAGTGTTGTTAATCTTTCTCATTATTCTACGGTCTTATCGAAAGTGTTGGTACAAAATTGACCAAGAAAGATATATAATGTTTAAAAATTTTACTTTGGCCACCCTAATTATATCATTAATTTGCAATGAAATTCAAATCCCAATATCTTTATGGGATTCAAATCCTCCACAATCCTAGAGAATAACACTGCGTTCCGTACAAAATGGAGATTATCGAAATGAGACGGAACAAAATCCCCCTAGCTCTAGCTGTTTTTTCAAAAAAAAAAAAATATCGTAAAATTCTAAATGGATGTAATATCACTCACTCTTCTTCCTAAGT